CTACACCACTGAGCCTCTCTTTGAAATGCCTCTAGTTCACTCAGCTTTCCAGAATCTTTGTCTTTTTGACATTTGCGTGCTTTTGCATTTTTGATTTACTAGTTTTACATGAGTTTGTTCAGCATCAGTCACCTTCCAGTGCTTAGAAAATAGCATTGCGGGACTGCATTTTGTCTGCTGGTTTGTTCTTTTAATGATTTCCTTCGCTTTTCTGTCTTCTCATTAAAGAGTATTATTTATTATGTTTAGGCAGTGGGGTTTGTGTGTTAGCAAGGTAGTCTTGGTTCAAGAGAGAGCTAAATGGCTGACTTGCTGTGTGTGATATACACACATAGACTGCACACACAGTTACATATGTTCTCTGTTTAGGGCTTCAAGCAGCAAGCTCTTACAGTATCCACAGATCCGGAGCATCGCTTTGAACTTGCTCTACAGCTTGGAGAACTGAAAATCGCATACCAATTAGCAGTAGAAGCAGAGGTATGTACTAAGTCATGATTTTCTGTATTGATTCAAAGGTTAGTAGCTACTTCTTTGTGTTTAGTGTAAGTTCTCTTGTTAAATTTTTCTGAAATGCAAATTAGTAAATCTCTTTGGATGACTGCCTCTATTTGTTCACTTAAAAAATGCATTTGTTAGTCTTTACATGAATGAATTTTATTGGATATCTATTTTTAGCATTGTGAATTTAAGAAAAAGTGTTTTCAATAGCTTATAGGAGATCTGTTTTGTAAAAGAAGACGTAAGATATTAGATATTGTAGCCTGGGAACTTAGAGTACAGACAGACAAAGCAGTAATTTGTCATTATCCCAAACTAGTGAGAAAGTTGTTGGTTTTAAAGATTTTAATATTTTGACACAATTTAATGATTTTAATGAACTGCTATGTATTAAGGGCCCCCAATTGTGGTTTAAGTCTAGCATTTATTGGTAAATTCATTTCAGATGTGCTAAATAAATTTCAGCTACATTGAGATCATCCAAATGTGTAGCATTTTGATTTTTTGACAAGCTACAAATAACAGATAACATCATTGTTAAATATTTAAGAATATAAAAAACAATGCTCTACACTTTCCAGAAATGGTACTAAATCATTAAAATAACTGCAATCTAATTACCTTAAAACTCCAATTAGATAATATTACTTTTAGTTTTACTGTGTAATTACAAAATTATAATGGGTTGATGATTATTCATGCATCATTAAAATTGATTCGTTTGAATTCATTTTGTATATGCGAATAACTGCCATTTTCTCATTATACATTTTGTCATTCCATTCTTACTTTGATTGATAGAACCAGCTTAATAAGCACAGCTCAGTATATGTATGAAATATCTCCCATTGGCAGCCCAGTAATAGGTTAACAGAAGACTGTTATGTTGAAAATTCAAATGTTTATTTCCATAGATGTTTTAATTTGGAAACTCTTTTTTTACAGTCAGAACAAAAGTGGAAACAACTTGCCGAACTTGCCATTAGTAAATGTCAGTTTGGCCTTGCCCAAGAGTGCCTGCACCATGCACAGGATTATGGAGGCCTGTTGCTCTTGGCCACTGCCTCTGGAAATGCTAGTATGGTGAACAAACTAGCAGAGGGTGCAGAGAGAGATGGCAAGAATAACGTGGCATTCATGAGCTACTTTTTACAGGGCAAGTAAGTGTTAATCCAAGGTCTGAGAGAGGTGGGCATAGTAATTTAAAGCACTGGTTTCTGCAATGACTATGAGGGTGGTTTACAGAGGAAGAATGAACCCTGGAGAGAGAACGGACAGGCACCTGGCCTAGCCCTGGCTAGTAGGGGTAGTCCGAGGAAGGACAGTGCTACTGTGGTGGTGTTCACCTTCAGCAAGGGATGCTCTTGACACATTTGGTCGAAATAAGCAAAATGTGCTGTTTAAGGAGGCTTGGACTGAGAGAAATGTTAAAACACCTTTCTCAAAAGCCTGGCCTCTCCCTGGCTGAGCCATTTTATTTTACCACAGCAGGAAGCTATTGTGCTGTTCCTGTAGTACCCAAATGGCCAATAGTTTTACCCAAATTGGGTAATTCTGACCTGTCCATGGCAAGAATAAAGGGGATTGAGGATGTCAGGTACTTCTAGAATTGAGTCCAGTTGTAAAGCATAAAAATACCATATACTTCTCAAAGTCTAGCAGTTAGTGCAAACTAAATCATCTCAACATTAGTTGACCATATTATGAAATAAAACACAAAAATATTCAGTAACCTTGCCCTGCATAGTGACTTTTTAAATAAACCTCACACTTTATTATCAAAGCTTAGTGTATCCCAATGTTTTTATAATATATTCATAAATTTGTGTACCTGTAGGAATAGGTCCATAATTCAAAAACCAAAAACTGTCCTGAAAACAGTTTCCTATAATTTATTTGATGGCAAAACCTTAACTCCGAAGTATATTATTTTATGCTTTTATGCTACTTGTTCTTGTTATCACATTTAGTATTCATGTGTTATTGCAGAATATTGTTGGACTTTCATTTGATGTCGAGGATATTAGGTAATATATATGTAATGTATTACATTTCTAAAAGCCAAAACCCCTTTTTTCCCCCCAAAACCTATGGATTCTACACATTGTCTACTTTACCAAACTTCGAAAAAAATTGAAATTAAAAAAATAGACACTAGGACATTTTCCTGCTAGAGACCACTGGATTGTCCAGCACAGCCCACATGGGAGACACTGCCCTCAATGTTCCCACTTGTGAAACCAAGTTTCTGCTCCTGTAGCTCCTGAAAGCCTTTGAAAATGTGCTTGTCTAAGCTGCCTTAGCTGGCCTTGAAAAGCCCCCTTAGATTCTTCTTAGGAGTTGTTAATTGTTAAAACTGGTTGCCGAGAGAGCGAAAATGATCACAAACCTGTCCTACCCTTCACGCTCTTGGAGTCCATTGATTATGTAAACACACTGATGATGACAAGTAAATGACTCAGTGACAGAAATGAGGTGTGAGGTATATGTGTGGAAGTTGGGGAGAGAATGCTGACCTTGCAACACTACATCTACATTTGTCTCTTCTTGGTAATAGTGCCTCTCCTTTTTCATCTTTAGGCTAGATGCCTGCCTGGAACTCTTGATTAGAACAGGTCGACTGCCAGAAGCCGCTTTCCTAGCCCGGACTTACTTACCCAGTCAGGTTTCAAGGTACGGACTTTTAATTTTAGGAACAAATGTTTCAGATAAAAACTAGAGCACACTTACTCAAGTCTCCCTTTGGTTCCTTGATCTCTACAATAGGGTGGTGAAACTCTGGAGAGAAAATCTTTCAAAAGTCAATCAGAAAGCAGCAGAATCCCTTGCAGATCCAACAGAATATGAAAACCTTTTTCCTGGATTAAAAGAAGCCTTTGTTGTAGAAGAATGGGTGAAGGAAACACATGCTGATCTTTGGCCAGCCAAGCAATACCCACTTGTCACGGTGAGTCGCCAGGGAGCAGACCTCATTCAGTGTGACTAGAGTGTAGAAGTGTGTTCCTACTTTACATACTTTATTGTTGGATTGAGAGCTGATAATTGAGATTTGGATCAAATTCATAAATGAATTATGACTTCAGAATATTTCATTATTACTTTATTCTGATAGCCAAATGAAGAAAGAAATGTTATGGAAGAGGCAAAAGGCTTTCAGCCCTCAAGATCTGCAGCTCAACAGGTCAGAATACTGCCTGAGATAATCTGGTTAAGATTTGTTCAAGTGTCATCTCCCATTTCCTAATCCTGAATAGCCTTCCACTGGGGGAAAATTACCTGAATAAATTCTCCATTTTTATATATGTATCTCCACTTGGCCTTTCAGGAACTTGATGGGAAACCTGCTTCTCCTACTCCAGTAATTGTCACCTCCCACACAGCCAACAAAGAAGAAAAGGTACAGACATCATACCTAGACTTTGCATGGGAACCCCAGGTGCACTCCTTTCTCCCCATGAAACGGCTGCAGGATGGACAGGCCTCTGCATTTCAAGTGACGTAATCACTTTCAGAGCAGGGGCTCTGAAATGAGAGAATGTCCCTTTTGACTATTGCTTTGGTTCTCTTTGGATCATGAATCAGAGGTAGCTTCAAAAGCTTATCAGAGATAACAAAGTGCTATATAACTCTTTTCTTTGCAGAATTTACCTGAACTGGAAATAGATCTGGATAATTTGGAATTAGAAGATATTGACACAACAGACATCAACCTGGATGAAGATATTTCGGATGATTGAGTGTAATGTTTCTTGAGAACCCCACTACACAGATCATTATAATGGACAGGTATCGATCGCCACCCTGACCACAGTGCTTTAGACTCTTGAGAACCTCCTTAGATTTTATATGGAAAGGCTGTTTGTGGCCCACTGGGAGCACACTGCTCTTCTCATCTTAGGAGTCATTTATGTGCAGCATCTAAATCATTGTTTCCTTATTAAGTAAACCAAATGTGGGCTTTGATTTTTTTTTTCATACTGTCATTAGACTGTATCTCATAAAATCTTTTGAATTAACAAAAATACTTGAAGTTTCCTTTCTAAATAATGAAAATAAGCTCCTCATTTTAGAAGGCTGAACCAAACTACACCTCACCTAGGGATCAGCCCACATTCTCTTAACCCTTTTGCTTGACCATGTTCCCACCAAGTTGGTATACTTGGGTTTTTATGCCTCAACCCTAATTTTGTCTTATAGTTAATTATCTGTTTCTCAAACCCAGCTCCTCTGACCTCTTTAAGCTGGGCTCTGTTTAGTGATATAGAGAGATAGAAGTGCTTTTTTGTTGTTTACACTGCACCTGATTAGAGAAATTCTAACCAGACACTCAAATATACTTCTCAATTATCATCCCCTCATAACCTAGGAAAATGAGTAGAGTATCAAAGATTTCTTTGTATTTCAGTAGAGGCACTGTTAAAATAAAAACATCAGGAAACTCCCTTCAATACTTTTGACAGTCTTAAAATATTCAGTTCAACATTAACAGAGAAAGTGAGTTACAATTTAGTAAAATGAAATTTATTTTAAAAATGTTTTCAGGAAGCTGCAGAATGGCTAATGACTGTTTCTTGATAAGCCTGTAGTGTTAATTCTATATATGCTGCTTTCTGTGCTTCTGTTTTTGCAAAGACCTGTTTAAAAAAAAAAAACTTTTAAGCAACATACACTAAAGTTTCCCATTTCTGCATTAGCAAAGGTCCAGTTTAAAAAGTCTTCCAAGGTTCACAATTGTTTTTCTGACTATGAAACAATAAGCCTACTACTACATGGACCAAACAAGCTATAGTAATTCTAAACACCAGAAGAATCCTGATAATGGCTGCCATCTCCCTTACCTTGTTTCCAGAAAAAAATTAAAACCTGACATTGTACTTCTTGCCAGATCATCAAGATAAATTTAGAGGATGAAAGTTAGCAAACTAATTTTTCACTTTAAAGAATATTTTCCCCCAAATATCAGAGAAAACCAGAATTAGTACCACAGTTTTTCTCTGCTCCTCCTAGGGGGTGGGCTCATCACTGGTCATTTGTATCCTTAGAAATGTTTTTGCAGTATGCATAAAATAAGATTGGGAGAGAAGCCAGACCCACAAAACTATGTCTGTTCTGAGCATTAGGTGAAAATTATATAATGACAGAGAAATATATGTAATAAGCCCATGGTTCTGCGAGGTATGCAGTTCAAGATGATAATGCAACCAAGGCTTAGTAATATATAAGCACCACCTTCTCCCATTCTGGACAGGAATGTGATCAGGAACATGGGCTGCCTTGTACTCCACCCTGCCCTCTGGTGACCTGATCACAAGGGAGCTGCTGCTCTACTATCTGAATTGCTTGGACTCCAGCTGCAGCTCCCACACCCCCATCCCATCTGTTTCTATTATCAGATGAAGAAATATGGGGCTCTAGTTACTATTTTAAGATCACAATTTTCTGTATGTGTCAATCTGTTTAGTTACCATTAAATATGACCCACTTCAGAATCTTCCCAACTCCATTATCACCACAAACAGCCAGTGTGGGAAAAATCCCTTTACCTTAATTAAATGTAATCCCTCAGCAGCCTGCTCCTTGGCCTCCTGAGCAGACTGGCCATCTGGATGGAGGATGTGATATAGCTGGACCAAGCTGGTGGCATCATCGACTCTAGAGTGAAAGGGTTTACTGCTATCAGTGGGTTTTCTTCGTTTGCTTCACAGTCCTATAAATGTGTGCCAACTTTAAGTTACACTTAGACTTTCCTCAGGCCAGAAATTTTTTAGGCCTTTAGTTTGATATTTTCAAACTTATTTTCAAAGGCATTTTCAGTAAACTGGCCAGTTTAAGCTTCATATGTACTCTAAGGTAGGCAGGGCAGGAATCTGTACAGGCAGTGCCCAATTTATGAACCTGAATATAGTCTAAATGTGACTATTTTCTTTTGGAAATGGAGCATCATTTCTCATAGAAACAGCATTCTTAATGGTAGATGGGTGGGTGCCAGGCCAACCCACCTCACCAGCAAATAATGTAATCTAACTCTGAGGGCAGGAATATCACCTTCATCCCACATAAGCTGGTGTGCAGGGGATGCTCAAAGCCACTAGCCTTCAAGTTCATTAGCATTGACCTCTCCTAACAAATTTTCATTAAGACTCCAAATTAATGAATAAATGCCTGTATGAGACGCCTGAGAATCCAAGGAAAGACTCCCAGGCCCCAGTCTATTCATAGGAACCCATTGGTTAAAAATGAGTGTCCTAGTGAAGCAAATCTAAAATTTTGCTTCCTGCATCAGAAGGAATGTCAGGTTCTGCTTCAGCAATCTAGAATTCAGTTCTTCTGGCTTGTACTTATCTTTCTAGAAACTCTAAACAATTTTAATTAGCATAAGAATCTCCTTCACTTCCCCAAACCAATCACTATCTTCTCACATAGTCAACACTTGCCTGCCATCTGCCATCTCAAAGCTGAGGGGTAAATAACCTTTCTAAAATGCTTGTGCTTTTGAGGTTGTGCTACGTATACTGAGTTACTGGCTTCCAGTTGGGGTTGGAGCGGTGAAGATATCCTAATTCAGTGTTCCCCCAGCCATCTCACTAATTTTCCCATTATACCTGCCCTGGGGGATAAAGAGTGGCCTGACAGTGTGGAAAGAGGTAAATAATTTCTCAAGCCATGGTGACCTGAGAGAAATCCTCTAGGCTTATCCCAAGGTCTGTCCACTCTCAAGGCCATCTTCTGGGAGAACTGAGAAACCAGCGCTGTTCATATAGTAAAATGTTTCAGGTAAAAAAAACTGAAACATATTCATTACAAATGCACTGTGCTTGTTATAATCTAACAGAGTCTAATAAACATGGCAGCAAAATTCCCCAAATGATAACATTCTCTTTGGAGCTTTGGAGCGTAGGCCTGTGGTCCTGTAAAGAGCTTAACTGGGCTTCTATATTTAGATTCCTCTTTAGGGCTTCATTACATTCATGCTAAAGTATAATGCCTGCATCTTATTGAACAAGTTAGCTTAACACCCAGCCTGTATTTGAAAATAAGAGCAAATCAATTTACATGTTCAAAAAAAATTTTAAAGACTCTCAAAACCAACCAACTCTCAATTATTTTCAGACTTGAGTCTGAAATAAACTGCAGAATCCCCGTTCTGCCTTGGGTTCCATTCAGGAGGACATGCACCCTCTACTGTCTAGTCTGGGGTTTGCAGCATGCTGTCCTGGGCAGAAATCCCACAGGAATGGTTAAGTACTCAAAACTCCCTCCCGGTATACAAATAAACTGCTTCAGATGTAAAAGCTCATATGTGGTAATGAGTATTACTATAATAGCCTATATTAGTACACTTTAATAAAGAACTTTAATGTTCAATTACACATTTCTTACTCTAATTATTTACAAAAATATTACATGTCTTTATAATAAAATCATTTCAGAATGATTTGATCCAAAAAACTTCATAAGAAAATTCATTCACGGGATCCCTGGGTGGCGCAGCGGTTTAGCGCCTGCCTTTGGCCCAGGGCACGATCCTGGAGACCTGGGATCGAGTCCCACATCGGGCTCCCGGTGCATGGAGCCTGCTTCTCCCTCTGCCTGTGTCTCTGCCTCTCTCTCTCTCTCTCTCTCTGTGACTATCATAAATAAATAAAATTTTTTTTTTTTAAAAAAAAAGCTCTTTAAAAAAAAATTCATTCACAGATGTCACTGCCGACTCACTTGAAAGTAGATCCCTTTTGAGTATCCTCATGAGTGCCAACCAGCCCCCTATTTATGTGGGATTAAGGTGTATTTCTGCCCACTGAATTGGATTATACTACACTTGCTGAAGTGGGCTGGCCTGAAGACATCTACCATTAAGAATGCTGCTTCTATGAGAAATGGTGCTGTTTCCAAATATGGGCTGTATTTCTTAGATAATACCTGTGGAACCTTCTATTTCCAAATGCCTTAGGACCTTTATGTGAATGGCTTTGATTAGATGACATGGAGGATAAGCTGAGTCACAGCCCCCTATAGTCTGAAGGCAGCCATAATCACTAAACCCTCTTGTAGTTCAGACTTCTGAGTCAGTCAAGGACTTTCCATAGAAAGTGGACTTCCTTAGAGCTGTGGTTTCTTTTCCTTGTCATTTTGGCATTTCTAACCCAACTGATACTCAAAAACAATTTTCTTTTCAGTTTCATCACAAGCTGTAAAATACACTATTGTTTCAGCTAGAAACCCGGGAGCACACCAGTTAAAATACAGTAGACGTTCCATGATTCATGCGACTTTGGAAAAAAAAAATTGTAATTCTGTCAGTGCCTTAAAAATCTTGCAAAGGCAAGGAGTATCAAAAACTGTAGTGTTTTCATAAATAATGACTTTTACTGAAAAGCTCCAGTTCCACTGGGGAAACAAGCACCTGCCAGGGCTTATGTCTTACATTGCCCATTTAATCCCCTTTGAGCGTCTGGAAAGTTTACTGATACCAAGGAACACCAACCAGTGAGGCCAAGGTAAGTCAGTGTTCAAGATATATAATACAGAGCCACAGCCACTTACTCTTAAAGAATCTAGCCCTGTTTAACACAGAAGCAAAGGCTGAGAAAACTGGGTTACGCTGGAAGAACAAACACATAAATAAGTGAAGGGTATTTATCACTGGACAATACACTGTCATCACTGGGAGAAAATAGCTTAAATACAGATTTCCTGTAATAGTAAGAATTTCTTTTACTTACTTAAGATCATACTTACAGATCTCTCTGAATCTGATCAATCAGTAAACCATCAATCTTTTTCTTATTTACAAAATACCAAGCCATTCCACCAAAGTGTCTTGTTGAACGTAAAAGGTCATACTTCCCATGTTTATCTATGTCTTCGTAGGTCTGATGATGAATCTACCCACATAAAATGCAATTTTTTTCATAAACATGAAAATAAAAAGTGAGCATTACTGGATACACAATTATTTGACTAAGTGTTGTCCCAGAAAGTATCACTAAACCACGTCTACATATACCTGCTTCTACTCTCTTTAACCAACAGGTATGGTTTAGATCAACCCTCCACTGTAGAAGTCTGTGCAGCCTGGAACAAGTCTGCTGCACATTTACAGCCAAAACAATTACTTTTCAGCAGCCAAGCACTATTTATGCAGCACCTATTACATATATGTAGACCACTAGAAATAATGGACCACCATTATCTTGGTCATTAGAGGATTTTAAAAAATCGATATTTTTTTCACTCCTCCCTTTTCTCCCTATCCCATCAACTACCCGTTCCACCTTATTAACTAATGTTCCTTCAGTTCTTCTAGATTGATCTTGCGAACTGAGGACTAAGATAAGGGCATTCCTGTGTTCAAAAGGTTTCAAAGGCCTGCTGACTGAAGTCCAGATTCTTGAGCCTCGCATCTGAAGTCACCTGTCACATGGCCCCATTTACTTTTCTAGCTTAACCCTGAACACCTCCCATACATTTATAGTGCATGTAAAAGCAAACCAGACAACTGGCCATTTGCAAGCACACTTTGTTTCCTCTCCCTGCCTGAAACACCTCTTCTCGACCCAACTTCACAATGTTCCTTGCCCTTCTAGAACCCTGTTCAAGATCCATATGAAACCTTCACTGAGAGCACTTTCTAATCTTCTCTTAGCACCTAACATCTTAAACCTAAGGTGATAGTTATCTGCATACTTATCTAGCACCCTTCTCACAATCATTTCTGGACTGTAAGCTTTGATAGTACATCCTATGCTAGTTCATGTCATCACCTATGCTATCCACAATACTATCTTATATAGAGATAGCACTACATGATTACTTATTAAATTGAATTGTAAAACAGATTTTGGCAAATTTTAGTAAATGACTGTTCCTGTATGATAAAATGAAGAGAAGCAGCTCTGCTATAAAGTTTGGATCCTTAATGCTACCACCTACTAGCTGTGCAACTTGCACCACGCTACATAACTCTCCAAGCTTAAATTCTCCCATCTTTAATTCAAGGGCTGTTGTGAGGATAAAATATCTGGTATACATCAGGTAATCAATAGATGTTCAGTTATGATAGATGTTCTTCCCTTCTGCAAAAATCCTACTCATAACCATACTTAAGCCCACACTTTAGAAACTATGAAATATACTCACTTTGATATATTCAGCAGAATCTGGCTCAAACTGGGCAACACAGAGATTGAGGACATCAACATGTCGGTCCTGGCTGTACATGTTCTAAAACCACGAAGCATAGTTGGAATTAGATGAGAAAAATCAACACCTGCCCTGATGCCATGACAGATGTGCCCATCCACTTCTGTGCCCAGTAAGAGGCAGGCAGAAATCATACAGGCTTCATAATTGTTGTCACACCAAATTCAAATCCCAGCTAAGCCAATTGCAAGATAACAATAGAGGAGTCATTATTAGAAACATGTATCTGTGTTTACCAAGCAGAATGCCCTGCAGCACCAGAGCCAACTTGTTCCACAAAGAAACCATCACTACTGACTCTATGAAACTAAAGTCACCTTACCCTAAGATTTTCTTCCTTGAAAATTACTGGTGTTAAAACTCTACGGCCTTCTTTTGGAAAATAAATTTGTATCATCCTGTCCCGTTCTTCCCAAGAAGCTTTGCGTAGTGTGCCACTTGGTTCTCTGACAACAATAAAACGCTCCTGAAATAGAACACAATTGAGGGTAAGTTTGTGGAGACTTATTTCTAGTTCCAATATTCCACTAAGCACCATTATAATTTGCAATCAAAATATAAAATGCATCTGGGAGATAGAAAATGCAATCATATATGATAATTTTAAACCTCAAAGACTTGGCAAGATTTGATACTTCTTTCACTAATCACTGCCGTGCCTCTGACAATCAGAAATCTAAAATGAAAGTATTTACTAACTGCCAACTATGGTCCTAAAGTGGGTTTAATACATAAAATGGTTCAAGGGAAAAAAGCTGGTCAGATTCATCTAAATCCATTTCAGAGGAAAGAAGTGCTATGAGATCTTTTAAAATGCTTCACTTTCCCATCCCATCCTAAAGTCTCACTGAAACAGACTTTACTACTTTGTGATCTACTTCTAAAGTGTCCCTGGGATAAAAGGAAAAAACCCAAGAATGTGGAGTCTTAATTCCACACCTCTATAATTCCTCGAATTGACATGAGACATAAATGTGTAAGAGACAGACTAGTCCACCTGCCTCTGGTCTCTTCACTCTTCCAACTACCAAGTCCTAGGCTATGAGATCACTTCCCTCAGAATTCTACCCACTGTTTGTGCCAGTTGACTAGCAATTTATCATGTCTAAGATTTTTTAAATTTTACTTATTTGACAGTGTGTGCAAACACAGGCAAGAAAGTGGCAGAGGGAGAGGGAGAAGCAGCTCTCTGCCGAGGAGGGAGCCTGATGCAGGGCTCGATCATGGGATCCTGGGATCATGACCTGAGCTGAAGTCAGACGCTCAACCAGCTGAGCCACCCAGGTGCCCCCACGTGCAAGATTCTTGACACTGCTCAGATACTGTCAGAGAGCTGATAAGGGGCAGGAACTGCACATTACAATTCACTGCCATACCCAGTGATTACACAGAATTTTGCACATAGCAGGTAACTGATACACATCTGATTAATGTTTAAATTAACCAAATGGTACTTTCAAGTTTTCGGGTGTAAGAGTCTCTGAATGTGTTCTCAGGATAATATAATTAAAACTATCATCAAGTACTACAAATATAACAGATGTCTAAATAACAATTATTCCTCAAAAGGAGTATGGTAATTTGAATTCTAAGTCCTTTCTCCATTTCAGGTTATAAAATGTTCCCATAAACAGCCTTCAAAGCACCCCAAAGCAAAAATTTTAATTAAAATGAAACTCTGTGATCTCTGTTCATCATGTCAGGTGTACAGGTGGCTGATACACAGATATACAGACGTGGACATCGCTCAAATCATGTCTTCTAACCATGATCATAGATGACAAAAAGACTAATGTGGGGTGGCCCTTCTCCCAACCACAGCATTACGCACTATTCTGCATTTTGTGGGCTACCTTGTAAATTGCTTGTTTCACCCTCAGTTGAAAAAATTCAATACAAAAGTGATCTATTTTATAAGTGCCGGAGTGTTCTTTTGGAACTGGCCATCAAGGGAAGAGGATCTAGAGAATAAAATCCAAAACAGAAGCAGCAGTGGTGTCTGAAAATTAAGGAAAACCTGTCATTCTTGCTGCAAATTCTAAAAAGTGAAAATCCTTTGGGAAGTCTGGGTATCAAGAATTTACAGGAAAGAAACCACTTTCTCAAAATGTTTCAGCTAAGGGGGTTAGCCTAACTTGGGTAGAAAGAATCCCCTTCTCCCATTGCCTTGAAGATTTCTGCCTATTTGTGGTCTGCCTATTTGTGGTCTGGAAATTTCTGTCTGTAAACCCCAAGTTCTGTCTTAGCACACCTGTCTCTGTCTCTGCAGTCAGTCTGGAATAAAGTGGGTCCATAATCTGTAAGGAAATGGTAACATGCTGATGTAGGGCTGGTCTGCATTTCTCTTCTTCCTTATGCTGGGCTGGATCTTCCAGAAGGGTCTCACCCAGTCACAGGAATTCTGGTTTGGAAGATTCAGAGATACCGGGTCACAATGATGTTGACCCTCATCCCTCGGGCCCATCTCCACATATTTCAAATAAAGATCATTTTGCAATTAGACATGTACTCACCCGGTGTGGTATGCTATATGATATATCAGTAAATACGTATTTGGCTGTTTCTGTTCCTTCCAATATCTTATCTTCAGCTAACACATCATTTATTGGCACTCGTTCTTCCAGAACTGGTGGCATTTTTAATCGTACTTTAGCTGCCTCAATTGCTTTTCTTGTAGCCTAAAAAAATAAAATATTTCTTAAGGAGAGCCACAGGGTTACAAACCAGAAGGATCTTTTGACAAAAGCAGACACATACGCTGATTTAAAAAATGCCAAGAACTACAGAGAGAAGAAGCTGTAGCCACTAAGTGAAAAGGCTCCCGGGCCCTGGCCTTTGCAAACTCTGTGGTGTGGCAGAAGAGTACCACCTGCAGGTTCAACCATTCTCAACGTAGCAAAGGAATACTCTGAGACAGACTGAGGGCCACAAAAGCTGCCTGAAATAGAATAAAGGATTTCATTTATTGTGCATGTACTATGCACCATATATTGTTCAAATACTCTGAATGTATCCGCCTCATTTAATGCCTACAACTACCTTCTGAGCTAGGTGACACTTCATGGAAGAGAAAACTGAGGCATACACATGTTAAGTAAACTGCTACAAAGTTGCAGCACTGGGATTTGAGCCCTGGCAACCCAACTCCTGAGCCCATGCTCTTAACCACTGACCACACTGCTCCATGCCATACTGTTAGCAGTGATTACCTCTGAGAAGTGAAAATGGGACTTCTACTCTTCTTGGGATGTACTATTAGATATCTGAATGTTTTGCTATGACTGTAACTTACTTTTGAATTAGAAAAAGGAGAAATAATGCTTCATAGATTCATACATCAAAGCATTTTCCATAAACCACTCATACCCATGACTCCAGGAGGACCCTGGTACCTAGAGTAGGATGTGGTTCAGCAATATCTCATAATCCCACCAAAGCATTCAGCCTCAAAGAAGCTCACAGAAGAGGCTTCTTAGGAAGGAAGGTGAGCCAGGCAGGACAAAGGAAGGATGCTCAGCCAGGTTTGGGAGAAAAGGAGGCTCTATGTGGAAACATAGGCCTGACCCACATCCTCCAATCTGCCTATTTTCGGCCATGCTCCCTGCTTCTCTCTGCCTGCCTGCTCCCATTTCTTTTCTCAATCTGTGCCTGGAAGTTCCATCATGAGTGCTGATGCAAGAGCAGCTATCGCTCTGGAGGGACCTCTGGAAATCTTGTGTATTAACCCTTTCAAGAAAGGCATTCTACCAATATTTCTACATTTACATACCTCCTCCAACTGTGCCTGGGTCATTAGCTTATAGGTTGGTGGCTTCAGTTCTTGTACAGCTGGCTTAAAAACCTTCTGCAAATTCAAGCCTGTCATCTTGATGAGTAGGTTTTGGACTTCCTCATCCATAAATGTAGGTTTCTTGATCTCTGAACTACCAGATTCTGTTAACATGGATTTTAGTAAATAAGAAGATGATAAAAATGATAAGCCAATAAGATCTCTGAACAGAAAAGCTAACAGAAATGATTAACAAAATGTCTACCTCAATATGTATAATGTTAATACTTATAAAATCCATTCATTCATTCCTTGATGAAATTTACTGCGCATTTACAAAAATAGTAATGGGAATACTACCAAAAAAGGCACTCAAAATCTAGTGGAGAAAGCAACACAAAAAAGTAATTAAGGGGTGTCAGGTGGCTCAGGTGGTTATGCGTCCACTCTTGGTTTCAATTCAGGTTGTGATCTCAGAGTCATGAGACCAAGCTCCACATTGGGCTCAGCACTCAGCACAGAGGCAGCTTGAGACTCTCCTCTCCTTCTGCCCCTCTTGCTTTGGGGGTTTCTCTCTCTCTCGAAAATAAAATTTTTTAAAGTAATTAATGTGGGGCACCTGGAGTCAGTAGAGCATGGGGCTCTTGATCTTGAGGTGGTAAGTTTGAGCCCCATGTTGGATGTGGAGATTACTTAAAAACAAAATCTTAAAAATAAATTAATAAGGGGTGCCCAGGTGGCTCAGTCAGTAAGTGTACACTCTTGGTTTCAGCTTGGGTGATGATCTCATGGGTTGTGGGATCGAGCCCCACGTTGGGCTGTAATCTTGGCAGGGAATCTGCTTGAGGACTGTTTCCCTCTCAAATACATAAATCAATCTTTAAAATAAAAAAAGTAATATAATAATGTTAATAATATTTACAGAGTTGTCTCCTAGATGCTAGGCATTACATACATTTTCAGGAAATGTTTTCAGGAGTATTTACAACTCACAAAATAAGATAAATAAGGATATTGAAGCCTGCCTAAAGACAACTAGCTGTTAAGTCACAGAGTCAGGATTTAAACCAAAGTTTGTTTCTAGAAACTAGAACAACTGTAGTCTATCTTGGTGCTCCCCAGTGCAAGTGCTACATACATATTCTCAGAGAAGAGAAGACCATGGCAGGTCAAAGGTCTTCTCCAGGGGCCTGAACAGGACAGAGAAAAAAAGGGAAGGAAATTCCAGATTAAGGGGCTGCAACTAGGAAACACAGGCTTGGATCACTGGACGTGAGACTGAAAAGGCCATGCGGTGTCACAGAAGAGCCATGGCAGGAGAGGAGACCCGGATATCACTGCTGCCTTACAGTTTACCCATCCCTTTATCTAACTTCCTCTATTTCCATCAGGAAAAAAAATGGGGGAAAAATACCATTCCTTCCCAGCCACTTCTTCCTCTGCTAGTCCTATAAATGTTGATGGCCCTAAAAATTCTGAACTATACTCTTCTCCTTTCTTACATTCTTGCTGTATGATATCCTCGCAACCTATAACTTTAATTACTTCTATATGCTGGGGACCCTAAAATCTGAATCTTCTTCCAGTCAAGATCATCTTCAATCCACCTACCCCGTGGACATCTCATGTGTACTTCAGTATTTCTTCTGTCTCAAATCTGCTTTTCCTATTTTTCCCTATTTTAGTAGCATCCAACAGGTCATGTGGGCCAGAAACCTTACAGACATTCCTGACTTTTCCTTTACCCTCCACATCTAGCCAACAGCAGTAGTAATAGTAACAGCAATGATAACTAACATTAGCAATGATATCTAATATAGTAGATATCTACTATATGCCACAACTTACTGAGCTAAATAACTTACATATTAAGCACATCAAATCCTCACAACCACCCTGGAAATACTACAGTTATCCCCATTTTATAAAAAAACAGAAAACACTAATACAGAACATACTGCCTATTATACCTCATAAATCTCTCTTTAATCTTCTATTTCCCACTGCCATTACTCTGATCGAGGCTATCCTCATCTCTTGGCTTAACCTCCTAACCAGTCTCCCTGGTCCATGGAACAACCAGAATAATCTCTTAAAAATGTAGCCAAAACAATAGAAACGGTTAACAAAACTAAGAGCTGGTTCTTTGAAAAGATAACAAAATTGACAAACTTTTAGCTAGGCTAAGCAAGAAAAGAGAGAGGACCCAAATCAAGAAAATTATAAATGAAAAAGGAAACAATACAACTCACGATATAGAAATACAAAGGATCCTAAGAAGCTAATGTGAATAATTATATAGCAACAAACTGGACAGCCTAGAAGAAACAGGAAAATTCTTCAAAACATGCAACCTATCAAGGCTGAGGAAGAAACAAAAAATCTGAACACACCTATTACTACTAAGGAGTTGCAATTAGCAATAGTAAATCTCCCAACAAAGAAAAGCCCAGCAGCAGATGACTTTACAGGTTAATTCTACCAAACATTTGAAGAAGAATCAAAGCCAATCCTTTTTAAACTCCTCCAAAAAACTGAACAGGAGGGAACATCCCCGAACTCATTTTACTAGACTAGCATTATCTTGATACAAAAGCCAGATTCTACAGCCATACCACTTTGAATGCACCCAATCTAGTCTAATACTAAAGCTAAAAAAGGACACTATCAGAAACTATAGGCCAATAACCCTGATAACTATAGATGTAAAAGTTCTTAACAAAATACTTGTAAACCAAATTCAGCAGCACATTGAAAAGATCATTCACCATGATCAAGTGGAATTTATCCCTGGGATTCAAGGATAGTTTGACATATACAAGTCAATGTGATACATCACAATGAACAGAATGACAGAAAAATCATATATCATTTCAATAGATGCAGAAGAAGCATTTGACAAAGTTCTCCGTCAGTTCATGATAAAAGCTCTTAACAAATCAGGTACAGAAGAAACATACCTCAACATAATATATACCAAACCCACAGACTAAAAGCCTTTCCTCTAAGTTTGGGAATAAGACAAGGATGTCTCCTATTGAAATAATGCTGCAAGTCCTAGCCAATCAATTAGGCAAGAAAAAGAAATAAAAGATATCAGAATTTGGGAAGGAATAAGTAAAACTGTCTCCAATTAGTTGCAAACAATTGGATTTTATATGCAGAAAATGCTAAAAACTCCACCAAAAAACTCCCAGATCTAATCAACAAATTCAGTAAAGTTGCAGGATATAAAATAAACATTTAAAAATTGGTAGCATTTCTATAGTAGTAAGTTCTGTGACAAAGAAAGCAAGCAATCTCACTGACAGTTGCCTCAAAAACAATAAAATACTAAGGAATAAATTTAGCCAAGGAGGTAAAAGATCTCTATATACTAAAAACTAAAAGACACTGATGAAAATCAAAGAAGAGGAATGCAGGAAGGATGGTGGAGTGCGAGGATCCTGAGCTTACCTCATCCCATGGCACACTGAGGTAATAATTACATGCGTGGCAATTATGAAAATAAACAGAACACTGGCGAAACGGATCTTCCACAGCTAATTATAGAATGAAGACCATAGTCAGGAACCAAACCCCTGGTTCAACAAAACAAAGAAAAGAACAGAGGAGCAAGATCAGACCTCAAGATGTAACTCCCCCAGCCCTGGGAGACCCATACTGGAAAAAGGAGTTCCTATAAGGTCTGGCTTTGAAAATCAGTGGGGCTGATTTTAAACTCTGGGAGAGCCAGAAGTTAAAAAATTGAAACAATAACTCACCTCAGACAGAGCAAAAAAAAAAAAAAAGCTGCAGTCTGAAAAGTGCCTGGGGCATAGGTGAAAGAGACTTCCTGCCTAACCTAAGGACCTATGCCAGAAAGACAGGAACCTGCAGGAACTTCCAGGAACAAAACTGATGGTGGGCACCATTCTTCTTGCCCTCCCCAAGACTACACAGCCAGACACTTTTGGGAACCAGTTCTAACAAACTCTCCATCTACCCTGCTAACACTGGGTGCCTTGCTGTGGTGTTGCCCTGTGGACCTGTCCACCCAACCCACCTACATTGACAGGCACCCTGCCAAAGAAACTCCTGTCATGGAGAGAGTAGGGGAGATAATACCACACACCAGCATGTGCTCGATTCCTGCAGCTAGGCCTCTTACCTGCCTACACAGGGAGCAAATCCCGCCCTCTTCACTGGGCCCACAGCTGTCACAGCAGCTAACTGCAGACAGCCAGACCACTTACCAGCAAGTCCACAGCAGCAGCAGCCAGACCTCTCAACAGTAAAGATAGCAAATGTTGTCCAGTGTACTTGCAGTTAACAAAGCAGGATACTGAGCCAGCTGAGCTCAGGTCCAGTCCCGACCACCAGTACAGCATGCCCACAACAATCAATATGAAGGTGCATACAGCTCACACAGCTGGTCTCGTGACAAGAGGGGATTGTGGTACAGGACACCACAGGACTTTTGAAAAGTCTTGAAAGAATGAAACAAAATCACAGAAAAAGATCTAAACAAAATAGAGATAGAATATCCCTAATAAAAAGGTCAAAGTAACATTTATAAAGATACTCAACTGGACTTGAGAAAAGAACAGATGAATTCATAACTTTGACAAAGACAGAAAATATAATAAAATAGCCAGTCAGAGCTCAAGAATACAAAACTGGGAGGTCAAATATGCTAGAGGGAATCAACAGCAGATTACAAAATGCAGAAGAATGGATCAATGAGCTGGAATACAGCGTAATGGAAAGCAGCCAAGCTGAACAACAGGAAAAAAAAAAAGTGAGAATAGGGATCCCAGAAGAAAAAGTGAGAGACAAGGGGGCAGAAAACTTATGAAGAAATAATAGCTAAAATTCAGGAAACACAAAAATCCCAAAAAGGTCCATGCTCTGACACATAATAATTTAAAGTATTTAAAATTCAGAATTTAAGATAAAGAGAAAATATTACAAGCAGCAAGAGAAAAGCAAGCAATTACACACAAGGGAAACCATGTAACCCTGTCACCTAATTTTTCAGCAAAAACTGAAGGCGAGAAAGGAATGGCAGAACATATTCAACGTGCTGAAAGGAAAAAACTTACAACCAAGAATACTCTCCCCTGCAAGATTATCCACCATTCAGAATTGGAGAGACAGAGATACCTGGACAAACAAAAATTAA